GTGAAGGCCCTTCGTCAGTAATATAACCACTCCGCACAGCATTTTCACATTGGTACTACCTACACTGGTACAGACAGTTTTAGTATGTGCAAATTATGCAACAATTTGCATCCATATTTTCAGACAGACTGGGATAAATGAAACTTTTTTATAATACTGAAAAACTCTTGCCTTCAATGAATGGGTCAATACTTTCCCCAGGATCAAAAAAGGCGCTTGTGTCTCCGACTGACTGCGCTATAATTTCTCTCGATCGACTAGTTGGACCTTGTGGCGTATATGTATTTTTGCAATTGCGCCGACCAGTTGTTGGGTCATTACTGAACTCATAGTGCACTGGCTTTCGTTTTCTTTTTCTTTCACCTAAATGATCCTTTCCCTGTCGAATGAGGTCTTCAATTGATGGCAATTTTTTTCTTTTTTGCCGAGGAATACGCATTCACACCGCTCTGTTTTTCCGCCATCTTGAAATTTAGCATGTGCTTCGTCCCAGAATACTGAGTGATCACACGGTGGGTGCCGCGAATTGATATTAGTAAATTCGCTGGCTTTTGACATTTTATGCATATAGTAAATCCGTCTTGGAGCTCATGTTGAACAAAACACAACATCATACATGACAAATCTTTTCTTCGAATGTCAACTTTGTTTAATTACGGTTATATTTAAAGTTAATCTACTACAACTTTTAAATGGCTTTATCACTGCCTAAAAGATAAAAGAAAAAACTGAATCTGTAGAAATGTTGAACATATTTTATAATTTAATGTTTGGATAAAAAACAAAATTATTTCGCAGTTTCCGCATTCGGCAACAGGCAATTACATTTCTAATTCATTTCCAATCAATACAACTGAAAAATGGAACAATACAGTTTTCATAGTGGAAACACCACTTTTGATTTTATTGCTGCTGAGCGTCAGACAGGCAGCACACTATTCTTGACTTCACACGACGTTGTTGCTTTTTCATGTCCAGTCCTTCCGGCCAAGTTATGTATAGTCGAAATCTCGATTTGAAGAGGGGGAGATGTCGGTTTTCCGGGACATATTATGTATTCAAGTTCATTTGTAAATTTGAGGGGGTTGTTCAACAAAATTTTGTATTCAGTGTTTATTTATCGATGTGATGAAAGAGGGAAACAATCAAAATTATAAACAGCCTTTCAGGGTTCATATCTCTGCTATGAAGACTACTATTAAAGTGATTTAATATCTGTAAGTTTAGTCTAAATAATCAGTGTTTATTTATCGATGTGATGAACTGGTTTAATCGAAAGTTGCGAATATCCCGGGTTAATATAAAGTTGAGAATATCGATGGAAACAGGGTTCGTAACTCTGCTATGAAGACTACGATGTCTATCAGTCTATGGCTATTGACCACCTACTTATGGCTATACCTGTACTATATTAAATCTCTAGCTATTATGTATATTTACGAGTTTGATAAAATGTCAGACAGGCGGTTTCTTTTGAAGTCTGGCTCTGAAAAACAATCGTTTTTTTAGTTTGAAATAAGCCTTCATAAGGACTATTGTGTAGAAATGTTATCTATACGCTCACATGAAAAAGATAATCTAATATTCAGGTATTCCACATAGCTATAAAAGGGTGAAATAAGAACTTTCATCTTTGGTTGTTTGTCAGACGTGAGAAACCACATTAGTGCCATTTTGTCGTGCATGCTATTTTATAAAATAAACACTTCGAAACCATAAACTTTTAGTTCAGAATATTACAAAGTTTTCCATAGACATTATTAAAAATGTTCCAGTGAAGCGATTTCATGATAAAGTGAGCAATGGAAAAAAAGAACTGCTAAGGTTAGTTTTTGTTAGGACTTCAATTTCATGACTTCCCGCAAAGGAAGCCATTTCATAGATAAGCAACATTTTGCAAACAACCGTCGCGACCTATTTTGATAACTTTTCCTTCTGATTCGATATGTAGTTACTAGAAAATGATGTTGCATCAACATTATTATCTGCTTTATCGACTTAAAGTTTTATAGGGATATAAAAATCAGTAAAAAAGCATTTTGAAAGCTTTACAACTCAAGTGCGGACTTTTTGAGAATTCGCACACGGCAAGCAAGCACGTTTTTTAAATACACTTATTTCAAACCACAATATGTCCGAAACGAGTTGTCATTTTACGACTAAATTGATGAAAATAGATATAACAGTGATTTTGGAATATCCTATACTCATTGCTGCCGTAGGCAGCACACTATTCTTGACAACTGATTTTGACGTTATGACTCGTGCCAGTTTCCTTGACCGAGGTTATAATGATGCAGCTTGATTCAAAATATAGAAGAAATTTGGATTTCTGTCAGTCGGTAATTGCTTGAAAGTCGCCGTAAAGCTTTCGTTCTGTACTTTTCGCCAAGATGAAAAATATAAAAAACGATAATTTCTTCACAAATAAAAGACAATAATTTCGTTAGAATATTATTTTTTGCAGGTACGTTTTAGCCAATTATTAGTATAAGGTGTTGACAATGTTTACTGATTGGTAATAAGTTTATATTGAACGTTTAAATATCATGACAGAATGATGCAGGCATGTTCAATGTTGGCAAATGTTGTTATGATTTACGAAGAAAAACGTGAAAATGATTGAAGACTTGATATTAAGGCTCTGCTCACAGGCACAGGGTATATAACTATTAACTCAACCACGAAGGAAAACATCGAAATGACATATAGTGTCGTATAGTCTTGTATAACGTTGTATAGTGTTGTTTAGTCTCTACAGTCTTGTATAATAGTCGTCTATAGTGTAGTATAGCGTTGTATAGTTATGCATAGTGACATATAGCCTTATGTATTGTTGTATAGTCTTGTATAACGTTGTATGGCCTAGTGTTGTATAGCTTTAAATATTGTTATATAGTCTTGTATAACGTTGTATAGTGTCGCATAGCCTTACATATAATGTTGCATAATTTTGTTACTTTTGTAGAACGTTGTATAGTGTTGTATAGCCTTGTGTATTATTGTGTAGTGTCGTATAGTGTTGTATAGTCGTATACAATGTCGTATAGTCTTGTATAATTAACATTGCATAGTATCGTATAGCCTAATTATATAGTGTCGTATAGTGTTGCATAACGTTGTGTAGTGTTGTATAGTCTGTCATGTACAATCTTGTATAGTGTCGTAATTTTGATAGTCTTGTATAACGTTGTATAGTGTCGTATAACCTTATATATTGTTGTATAGTTTTGTATAACGTTGTATAGTGTCATATAGTGTCGTATAGCCTTTATATGTTGTTATATAGTCTTGTATAACGTTATATAGTGTTGTATGTTGTTGTATAGCCTTGTGTATTATTGTCTAGTGTCGTATAGTCTTGCATGTATAACGCTGTATAGTGTCGTATAGTCTTGTATAGCCTTACATACAGTAGTGTTGTATAGTCTTGTATAACATTGGATAGTGTTGTATAGTCTTGTATAGTGTCATAAGATCATTAATAAGTTCACCTGCTTACAAGATAATTATGTAGCTTTTGACAGTTCTTTGTAAAAAAAACATTGTACAGACAGACACGATATATAATAGTGTTATGCGCTTCCACTATTAATAGTGTTATGGTATATAGGCCTACATGCACAGGGTGTATAAAAAAAACGCAACCTCGGGATTTCCTAAGAAAACACTTTGCAATTCTTAAGTATAAAAGTTTTAGGCCCCTGGAAACTGAAATCAAATCGCTAATAGATCACATTACTGTTGTTGTGCATTAAATAAATGCATAAATTTGCTTTATGCACTCGCGTGTGCAGTAATTTTGACAGTTGTGCTATTTTAAATTCCAAGGCGCCTAAAACATTTTGTCTTTAAAACAATCTCGATTTCTTCGGAAATTCCGAGGTTGCGTTTTTTTCAATACACCCTGTACAGTATAATAGTGTTGTTATAGTATTCATTATAATGTTATATTTGCATTGTTAATAGTATAAACAGTCCTTGGGTCTTGTTCATTATTTATCCATCATTAATAGTGTTATTAACTGCGAGTCATTCCAGGTTATTACTCTAGAGGTGACCACACTTGACTTTGTGTCTAAGAATATTAGTGACATTAACCTTAGTGACAATCGCATAATAGCTAAATGTGTGGAGGTAGCCCTGCGGGTCACATTATACATATATTGTCGGAGAAATAAGCCGTGGAATGACCCATAAGTGGTTAATTTTTATTAGCTACTATCGTTTGGAGTGCTCAGAAAATGACCTGTTTCATTACAGAGAACTGTTTTCTTAATTAGAATTCTTAATTTCTTAATTAAGAATTCTTAAATCTTAGTTAAAATATTGTTGTAACATATATGCACGCGATTCTTACAATACAATAAAATACGATTTTTATTGTTTAAAAACTATAATAGTGTTATGTTCCATTATAGTGTTGTTTAGTTCTGAATTATCCACGGATTATAAACAGATTTTGAACAACCTAACCCAAAGTTTTGGCCGCGAGGCAGCATTTCCTTGCGTTAGTAACTTCTAGT